GAACATTAAGGCTAACTTCGCCAAGAAGAAGCGGACTTGAAATTGAGCCTGTTAGTAATTTAACTATAAAAATTGTACCAAGCATTTGCCTGCGGCTGGAAAGTGTAGGAAGATTAATAAGTTTTAATCGGCTCGTATAAGGTGGAAGGTTATATTGAGAATCCCAACGGAAATTTCTTAAAGCAAAAAGTAGGAATTGTTTTTGAATTGATTCTATCTTGTCTGAGTAAATTTGATACCTTGGATTCCAAACCACCGAGCCGTATTCCAGAATCGGCCTAACTAATGTTGTAAACAGGGTTTTAGTGATATAAGGGTCACTAAATTCTTTTGACCATCGTTTCACAAATGCAAGTACACCTTTAGCCTTGTTGACTGTCACATTAATGTGAAGATTAAAATTAAGCTTAGGATCCATTGTGATACCAAGGTCCACAAAATTGTATACCTGTTCCAGGTTATGGTTACCTATTATATAAGAAACTGGCAGAACAGCTCTTCGCGAGAAGCACATTACTTTACATTTCTTAAGATTTAGAGGCATAAGATTTACTTTACACCAGTAAGCCATGCTGTTTAAGTCTGATTGTAGCAAAGACCTTTCTTCAATTGAAACGTACGATTTATAAAGTTTTACATCATCTGCATACATTAAAATTTTGGAGAATTTTATATCTGTAGAAATATCGTTTATAAAAAGCAAGAACAGAATCGGGCCTAGGTGGCTACCCTGAGGGACTCCTGAAGTAACATCAATGACGTCAGAGATAGTATTTTTAAACAATACCCTTTGTGATCTATCATAGAGGTATGAAGAGATCCAACGTAGAAAATTAGGTGGAAGACCAAGAAGATCAAGTTTATAGATGAGCAACGAGTGGCACACTTTGTCAAATGCTTTACTGAAATCAGTATATATAACATCAACAGTTTTGCTTTCACTAAATGCTTTTGAGATATAGGATGTCAATTCAAGTAAATTTGTAGAAGTTGATTTGCCCTTTCAAAATCCATGTTGAGTATATGAAATGCTAGAAGAGATTCTACTATACTACTAAACCAAATTTTGTATGTTCGTATTTATATTTATATGCCTGACTTTTTATTATATCTGGCCTTAAATTTTAAGTCTTAATTTTAATTTTAATTAAAAATACAAATTAATAATATTAATATCTTTTTTTAATTAATATTAATATCTTTTGTTGCTATTTGATATATTCTTAGTTTTAAGTTTACTTTGTACAAACATTGAATTTTACAAACTGTTGATGTATTATAAAAGACTCTAAAGTCTTATAGATACAGCCTCATTTCTTA